GCACAAGGAACGCCATCGACTTACATGGAAACCGCCAACCTCTTCACTGCGCTGGACCCAAATCGGCCACCGCCATCAGTTACCGCCGGAGGGGATCAGTTCAAGACTGCCGCTCTTACTGCTCAACAGCTGTAGATACTGGCCACGCCTTGTTACAAGCCAAGTTCCCCCTACGCCAAAGACGTACTATAAGATGTGCAAAGTTGCCTGCAAGGGGACGCCGCAATCGAAGCAAATCCCGAAAAATACAGGAATTAGTCGTGGAAAAATAACTTGCTTTCTCCCCTTCGGGTGTTGCCTCCGAGACCCAGGCAAGTAGGATCTGCGAAAAATGCATAGGAAGATAGAACAACATGTTCATGTAGCCTTAGAAGTAAATGAGCTGAAATATCTCAGACAGCCTGGGAACAAAATGCAACTGTGGTGGCAGTGGTAGATTACTGTGCTGTCGTCCGGTTCAATACCACGCCTAACCTATCGAGGCCTTATGTGGTTCGCCACTCCAAGTCTCGGGGCTTAGGTTGCCGGTTTCCACCGCTGAACTGCAGGTCCTCATGACTGTGAGGTTCGCCCCGTCTGCTGATCACATTTAGGTGCGTAATAAAAATTCGAAACTTGGCTGTCTAATATAGACCATGTACCGCAGATTGTTCAAAATTCGTTCTCCGTCGAATGGCGGCAGGACGAGTAACCATGCTCATTAGAAGGGGCACATACCACACTCATTCGAAGACCAACCTCTGCACTCGGTGTCCTGTTGTGCACGGTAATGCTGCTACTCACGAACAGACGGGTCAACGTAGTATGTCTTTATTGAGGACCGGGTACAAACCGTAAACAGGATATTCAGCTGCTGCGAGCTCTAACAGGGATAGTTAAAAAAGCAATATTGTAGGCTATTTCAACCTACCACCTATGGACTGAAGGTCTGAGGTTGGCATCCAGAAGTCAACAGAAGAGGCCTACAGGAGAATCCCCTTTAGTACACGTTAGAGGAAGTACCAGACGAAAGCCTGTAGTGCTCCGTCGCTACTGGATCTAGTGATCACTACGCACAGGAATGATATTACGACAACATTCGCACGCACCTCGTAGTAAAAGCGGTCACGTCACCATGTCAGTCAACGTCTGCATGTGGCAAGCTAAGGCACTGTTTAAGATGAAGAAGTTTCGGTTTTATGAATTTAGTGAATCTTCGAACTACTGGATCGGGGTTGGTCGGGGATGCACCGGAAGAGGCTAGTGTAAAAGACCATTGGAAGTTAATTAAGGAGGCTTGTAAATCTGCAAATTCAAGTTGAAGAAATACTATACTATGTTCAGTCCGAGGGAGCATTGAGAGATAGTCTAGGACCATTTAGTATAGGTACTGAAGCAGTCGTTATGAACAACCAGCTCAAGGCAGGCGGCCTAGCCAGCCACATTAGCAGTGTACACCGGATATATGATGGAATGCCAAGGACCTTGGAGCCAAGAGCATCATCGCCCGAAGTTGGGGAGCTTCATCTTTCGGAAGAGATAGTGTGCCAGCACCTGGAGGATTTGGGCGTTGATAAGGCGGTTGGACTGGAGGGGATTCACCCAGCTATCAGCAATCCCATAGCGGACATCCTCGCATTCTGAGAAGCATTTGGAAACTTCTGGTTGGTTAGCACTGGACGCCTTCCGATGTCAGCCCGAGACTTAAGTGAACCATTTCGACGACATGTCCCTGCTTGGTTGCTGAGATGGCTAATTTGGGGCGTTTACGTGCTACCGCTACAGTAATTGTCGGACCACTTGGGCCAGATGTGAAGGTTTCTCACAGGACGCTGGTTTGTTCCTAGTTATGTAGAGGCCAGCAAGACGGGATTTAGTCAACACAAGGAAGTTCCTGGAGCTTCGGCATCACTTACCCTTACGGACGGAGCAACGCACGCGAAGGCAGTCACGTTGTATGGGTTTCAGTCGGTGGGTTTGCGGCTGGTGTATCAACTGAGGTGGGATGGAGCGAACGCGTTAGCAATCTGGAGGTACATCGCTGTCATATAGGGATAAATTTGCTAGCACATCAAATTCAGATTAATGGGCTTCGCTCGTTAGAACATATTGAGTATGAACAGTGGTCAGTAATCGCACGACTTCTAATTCGCTGTAGCCGCGGTGGACAGAGGGAAACCATGTGGAGGTCAACAGATGACTTGGAGCTGAGGCATTAAGAAATTCACAGCGGTTAGATAGAGTAGGTACCTCTTGCCTTCCAGGATAGGCTTGAAAAGACTCTGCAGCTGGTTGGTTGCAAGAACTGAACTAAACTGGTTGGAGACATCATCATACAGCGAAGTACAATAAAGAGAACTTCGCTGATCGCTGCCAAACTAGCGATGCTTACAAAACAGTAATATGTAGGGTAGGCAGGGATTGAACCTATTTTGAGAGTATGGTTCAGTTTAGTTCTTAACCATTAACCATACACGTTTGTGCGCCGGTTTCGGTTGCTGCCTTCAGGTTGACCATTTGGATAAAACAGCAGAATGAAGATTGGAATATTGAGAGCAAATTCAAGCGAAAGGTAGCGAATTCGTATAGACTGAACTTACAAGAATAATGAGTAGATGCATGAGCGCCACTGTCTGTGACATCCAGTCATATCGCTCAGTGTCTCTGACCATCGGGAACGATCATCCCGGTCCCCATCCAGGGAGCTTAATGGGACCTGTGTGACCCAGCCTCCTGGTTAGGGTTTTTATACCCTGATGCCAGATCTTAGCTTGATCGTCCTTCGTTTTTTCCAATCGCCACCTGCCTCGACAAACATCGCTCACCATGGCAACCTATCTGGTGACATGCGTAGCACATGTCCCACCCAGCGTAATC